AAAAAGTTAAAAATCTCGCAGCGCCTGGCTGGCTCAGTGAGAGGAACATGCAACTCTTGATCTCGAGATTGTGGGTTCCAGCCCCATGTTGGGTGTAGAGTTTACTTAAAAATAAAATCTTTAAAAATAAATCAACTATGGGGCACCTGGGTGGCTCAGTGGGTTAAAGCCTCTGCCTTCGGCTCGGGTCATGATCCCAGGGTCCTGGGATTGAGCCCCGCATCGGGTTCTCTGCTCAGCAGGGAGCCTGCTTCCTCCTCTCTCTCTGCCTGCCTCTCTGCCTACTTGCGATCTCTGTCAAATAAATAAATAAAATCTTTAAAAAAAAATCCTTTTAAAAAAATAAATCAACTAAAAAGTGAAAAATCTAAAGCAAAAATGAAAACTTGGGCCAGTAGATGCTTTTCTATATTTTCATACCTTCTATATATAGATCTATAGATCTATAAATATATGTATATATATCTTAACTGATTCTCCTTGTCAGCCAGGTTTGGGAATAGCTCTAGGAAAATTCTTACTGCTCTGCCCCTGCAAACAATCCACCATCACCAACATCTCTCCTCTCATCACCTCAACCAGATGTCTGAGAGGAAAAGAGAAATTCCTCCCAGCTTCTCTTCTCTCTTGTGGCTCTCTTCTCCTGGCTTCCCCGGTTGGGCAGCAAGGCCACACATTACTGTGCACACACAGCACAGCAGTGGTCGAAGAGGCTACGTGCTGGCTGTCAGGGACCTATTTCCCTCACCAGCCGCAGGTCTCTGCTTCCTTGCCTCATTTAACAAACCAGATTTGGCCCAAGGTGGACCGTGGCCTGTATATTATGATTTCCTGGTCAGCTGGGAATGCCTGTGAAGAGACATTTCAAGCTATAATGGGGAAAGATGCTGAGTGCCTGAAGAAGCCCAAGTCCAGAGAGTCGAAAGATACAGGAAGGACCTGAGTTCTCTCAGATCTAGAAGGTAGTCCAGCCTGAGCTATAAACTTCCTCGCTCAATGGCGTACTTCCAAAGGCTCTAGGCTGAGGAAGAACACAGCGGCTGCTCTCTTCGGCAACACCTATTCCAAATCTGCCACTAATCTCCACAGAGATGTCTACAGAGCACCTCTAATTCACATGGCCCAAATGACACCATGCTTTTTTTCTAAACCTACTTCTCCTCCAGGGTTCCCAGCTTAGTGAAAGGGAATGATACCACCTTCCTCGCAAGCCTGAAACCTAGGTCCTCTTGCTCACTCATCCCTTCGTCCAACTCCTCGGCAAGGCCCCTGGTTCTAGCTCTGAAAGGCTGGGATCTGTCTACTTCCTTCAGCCGTGCCCATCATCTCTGGCTGATGGACCCCCACCTCCATCATGACCACCACCAACTCTCACCTGAACTATTTCAACCATCTCCTAGACAAGCAACCAGGCTCCAGGCCCTCCCTCCTCCCATGGCTTCTTCACACGATACTCAAAGAGAGTATCTAAAGGAGAGAAATTCAAAGAGAATTTCTAAAATGCAAATTTGATTACATCTCTCTCTCACTCAAGAGCTTTCAGTGGCTCCTTATTATCTCCTGGATAACATCCAAACTTCTCAATATGGGGTATGAATCCCTTTGCTTTCTAACTCTCAAGGTCTCATCTCTTATAATTCTATCCCTCACACGCTTCAATCCAGCTCTGCTAAAATTCTTGCCCTCTTTTATTTATTTTTTTTAAAGATTTTATTTATTTATTTGACAGAGAGAGAGATCACAAGTAGACAGAGAGGCAGGCAGAGAGAGAGAGGGAGAAGTCATCCAGCAATGACTCTGAGAACTCTAGTGGCCAAGCTGACAATGGCAGGCGGCCTACATATGTTCCCTCCTTCAGGATCATCATCTCACTGAGCAGAGAGCCCGAAGCAGGGCTTGATCCCGGGACCCTGAGATCATGACCTAGCCCAAGGTTGAGGCTTAACCCACTGAGCCACCCAGGCGCCCTCTTGCACTCTTTTAAAAGTACCAATCCCTCTCACCTCCTCACCTTTGCACACTGTCTCCTCTTCCTATTCCTTCCCAATCCAACCTTGCCTTGGCTCAGGTAATTCCTACCTATTTCTCAGGTCATAGGCTTAAGGTCAGTTCCTCTGGGGGTCTTCCCTTGTTCCCCAAAATTCTTTGTGTTCCTTCAGCACCCTACCTACCCTGTCACAATACCTCCCACAGGAACTGCTAAAGCTGTTTGCCTGTTTTCTCCTTGATGGTGGGGATCATGTCTGTACTCCTTGTCTTTATACACCCCAGAACCTGATCCACGCTGACATGCAGCAAGCACCCAATGCCTCATTTAATGAATGAGTGGATGGCTGTGTACTCAGAACTCTGAGGCTTTTTTAAAAAAAAAAAAAGTGGGGGTTCCTGGGTGGCTCAGTGGGTTAAAGCCTCTGCCTTCGGCTCAGGTCATGATCCCAGAGTCCACATCGCGCTCTCTGCTCAGCAGGGAGCCTTGCTTCCTCCTCTCTCTGCCTGCTTTTCTGCCTACTTGTGATCTCTGTCTGTCAAATAAATAAATAAAAATCTTAAAAAAAAAAAAAGTGAAGGACAAGGATCTACCTTCAAAAGTTTACAGATGAAGACAACTTAGATCATATTCATCCTTCACCCACAAAAACACCTCCAAGAGCCAGGCAACACTGACCATGCAGACAAGGTCAAATGAAGACCTCTCTCTCAGGACAGGACCAATCTCTCACCAGAGGCTCCTGGCCAAAGGCCTGTCTGTGATTCTTACACTTGGCTCTGATTTCTTCTACCCACCACTGACCCAGCTTGTACCACCATCTGCTTCTGACCCCACTGCCGGGAACACCTAACAGAGAGACCCAAAGCAGACCCTGCCCCACCAGAGGCCCAGCTAGTAAGGATCAAAACCGCACAGCCAGCAGATGGTTCTAACTCCTGAATGTTCCTGCCAAACCTACTTCTACCTATTCAGCAGCTGCTCTCAGGAGTATGGACTGGAAAGAGGTCCAGACCTATCTCCTTGATTTGATGGTAACTACAGAAGGGTGGCATCACACATGCATTTAACTTAGGAGAATTCAAGCACGAGCCCTTGCAAAATAAATAAGGACAGAGAGGTGGGGGGATGGGGCGTGAATATCCTCTCAGTGTGACCAATTCAGAACTGGGTGAGCTCCTTGTGCTGAGAGACCTGATTTTCCATTCGACTGGCTCCTAAACTCAGGCCCTCTTTCAGGTAATGCTCAAAGAAGCCTGCTTCTACCTTTTTTTTTTTTTTTTTAGGATTTTATTTATTTATTTGACAGAGAGAGAGACATCACAAGTAGGCAGAGCAGCAGGCAGAGAGAGGAGGAAGCAGGCTCCCTGCTGAGCAGAGATCCTGATGTGGGGCTCGATTCCAGGACTCTGGGATCATGACCTGAGCTGAAGGCAGAGGCTTAACCCACTGAGCCACCCAGGTGCCCCTGCTTCTACCTTTCCTTTGCGTTCCTTTTTTATTCCTTCAGTCTTCTGCTCTTTTGCATGTATGTAACTTGAAAGACTAAAATTATATTTTCTAGGTATGCCCCTTCTCATAAACTATATATTCTTATACATTACACATTTCTACAGACATATTACCATAAAAGAAGTGCAGAGGCAAACTTAGGTAGAACTTCTGGTAATTTACGAGTTTTTCAAAGCTACCATTGATTATACATGGCTTCTGCCTACATGCCAACTTTAGAACCTGATACCCAGTAAGGATGTAGCTCCACGGTGAGTACCATCTTCCAAGTTCCTCATCTGGCATCTGCCAGAGAATGATACCAGGCCAGGAATGACATGACTTTGTCCAACATCCAGCAATGACTCTGAGAACTCTAGTGGCCAAGCTGACAATGGCAGGGAGCCTACATATGTTCCCTCCTTCAGGATCATCATCAGCCCCCAGGGCAGAACTGAGATGTAGGGCACCCAAAGCCTGCCCAAAGAAGGAGGTTGCCAAACTGGCTCCTGACTTTTGATTTTCTCTTTCAAGGACAGTTTTGGAATCACACTGACCAGAAGCAAGGGATGACAAGACCAGTTCTCTTCCCCAGGCCCTTCAGGCCCCCAACCCAGAAGAGTGACAAGTGGGGAGAGAATCCACTTGGCACATGCTAAGGAAGGATTTGTTTGGGTTCACTCTGCACTTCTGCGGGTTGGCCATAATCCTACCCTGAGGTGAGCGCTCTGGGACTTCGGACCACTTTGAAAGTTTCCACAGGCTCTCAACATCCCAGACTTAAGTGTCCTTCCGCAGCCCTGACCCGCCTGAGGATCCAAACTTCCAAAGAATACACAAATATTATCCTTAGAATAGTCTCATTCCTTCACAACCTCAGAAAATTATCAGAGTCCCCATTTTTCAGATGAGGAAACAGTGAAATCTCCTGTAAAAACAGGACAAGATCACAGTTCTCTGGACTTCCTGTCTCCCAAAATAAGATTTCTAGAAATTTCTGGTTAACTTTTAATTACTCAACACCAGGGGGTCTCGATTCCGTCACAAATTTCACTCGGTTCTTTCCCCCCACCCTGTCCCTCAGTGCCTAAATCTTCTATCTTTCCTTTTTTCCTCTCCAACTCGATTTCCCGGTCGGTTTCTTTTCCAAGATCTAAACACCGCCTTGAATCCCCAAGGACCCCGCTTCCAGGGCGGCACTTAGGTGAGGAGCAGCTCCATTTCTTTAAAAACGTCCTTTCCCGTGGCTCTGAGTCCCCTCCTCATGCACGCCCCCCGCCATCCTTGGCGCACCCACCCTGCTCCGGCCTTTTGTGACCGGCAGCCTCCACTGCCTCGCCCTCCCTCCTCCTCACCGAGGGTCCCATCCTGCTTACAGCCGACAGCCAAAGTTTCAGACTGTGTTCCTCCAACTCTCCCGGGTGCAGCTCCAGCCCTCGCCAAGGCTCAGGCCCGAGCCTATTCTTTGCAAGAGTCCCGCATCCCACCACGGCCGCCCCGGTTCCAGCTCCCGCGCGCTTACCGGACCAGAGCACGAGCTTGCCGTGCGCTTCTTCCTGGGAGTCCGAGTCCCCGGCCAGCAGCGTGGAGGTGGCCCCGTAGGGCAGCGCCGAGCCCAGGCACACGTTGTAGCGCAGCGGCTCGCAGGGGGCTGCGCGGCCGCAGTGGCTCAGCAGCGGCGGAGGGCGGGTGACGGCCGCGCTCCTTCTCGCGCTCCCGCCCGCGCTCCGCGGCCCAGGCCCAGTCGCGTTCCCGCTCAAGGCCGCCCCCCGGCCCGGGCCCCCCAGCAGCGGCAGCAGCAGCAGCAGCCCCGGGAGCAGGATCTCCGGCCCCCGTGCGAGGCGGGCAGCGGCCATGGCCAAACCCGCCAACTCAGCAGAAGCCCCGGCGCCCCCGCCCGCTCCCCGGAGCCCCCCAGCCACACACGCAATCCGTGGGGCCGCGGATGTGGCTCAGGCGACCTGTGCGCCCCGCAGGTCCGGTGCCGGGCCCCCTCCGACGCTCCGCGCGCCGCGGGCCCTCGGCGCCCAACTTCGCAAACTTTGGACCCCGGGGCCCATGTTGGGCGGCTGAGGCTCCGGCCGGGATGCACAACTCTCTTACTCTTTCTCCCGGCAATCCAAACTGTCTTCAGCCCCGGGAGCCCCCTGGGCCCCCAATCTCCAGCCCCATTCCCTCTTCCACCATTAAAACTACCTCCCGGCCCTGCGATGGAGGCCAGGAGCGGGCCGGCGGTGGGGGGGACTCGCTCCCTGGCTTCCCCTCTGCGCCAGCCCGCGGCCCAGCCGCCACCTTCGCCCGAGCGCACCGCAGCCCCCTGACTTCTCCCACCGACTCCCGGCTCCTTTGTTGCTCTAGCTCGCTCGGCTCTCTGGAATGCACGGGCCTCGCTGAGCCAAGCCCGGCCCCACCTCCGCCACGGCTTGGGGAGGGACTGGCAGAGGGAGGGAAGAGGAGGGGAGGGGATGCGAGAGAGGAGGAGCGCGAGCTTCACTGTCCCGGGCGCCCACAGGGGCCCGGGCCAGGGGGCTCTGGTGACCCCGTTCGGCGCCCTGGGGCAAGAGATGGGAGGAAACCGTGGCCGGGAGCTGCAACCAGACTGAGCGGGCAACTTGTTCGGCCTGAGGATCGTTCAACTTGGTCCTCTGCTGGGAATAGACTTTTCTGGTTTACGATGGGGGAGACAGGGATGCCTGAAGTCAGCAGAAGTCTTTACTACATCCTTGCCCGGTCCCCCAACTCGCCGTTTTTTTCTGTTTTGGGTTAGATCTTTCTACTTGTCCCGGGGCCCCATGGAAGAGAGCCAGGGTTTGGTGGACTCGCTTGTCTCAATCCTTCCAACTCAGGACGGGTGTGAGAGATGAACTCAAGAGTCCCTCGGGGCAGCTACCCGGCTGCTGTTACCTGTGAAAGCAGGTGTCTGGAAACCAAACGTACCAACATCAGCCTTTACTGCTACAGATGTGTGATGTGTGAACCGTGGTTTCCAACAACTGACCCTGGCATGTCTTTGGTTACGTTCAAAGGAAGCCATTCCATTTTTTATGGCCCTTGCTGCTCGTATGCTCGCGGAGGAAGTTTCTGCTGCTCTCCTTCCCTATTTTACTCATTTGGCCCTTCCTCACTCCTTTTCTTTTCTTTTCTTTTCTTTTCTTTTTTTTTTTTAAGATTTTATTTATTTATCTGACGGACAGAGATCACAAGTAGGCAGAGAGGCAGGCAGGAGAGAGGAGGAAGCGGGCTCCCTGCTGAGCAGAGAACCCGATGCGGGGCTCGATCCCAAGACCCTGGGACCATGACCTGAGCCGAAGGCAGTGACTTAACCCACTGAGCCACCCAGTCGCCCCCTCACTCCTTTTCTTATGGGGCTTTGAGTCACCACACTTGATTTCACCCTGCAAAGCTTACACCTAGGGCCAGGGGTCCCTCCAGGAGAGTGGACTTACATGGAGCAATTTTTCCATGTTGCAACAGGCTGGGATGGTTTCTCCTTTCTCACCCCTACCCTTACCCCTTCAACACAGCTGAAGTAGATGAGTTTTGTTAGGTTTTGGCCATTTAAGAACAAATTAGCTATTACATTTGAGCTACCGTCCTTAATTAGTAGGTAAGCCCCAGAGACAGAGAGACAGAGACACAGAGAGAGTTTCAATTCAATTCAATTTAGTAAGTCTTTCTGAAATCATGGGATGTCCCTAGCACCATAATAAGCATGATATCCTTGTAGAACTTGAGAACTTGCATTTGACCGTGGAGGTAGCTTTGTCCTCAGGAGAGAGCAATATTTCATGATAAAGGAGCTAAGTCTTCTCCACCAGGGCAGTGACCTTGTTCTATTCTCTGTAGTCACAAAGCATCTAGTGCAGTCAGACATGCATATTAGTCACTCAGTAAAGAAGCTGCCAAAATGAGGTGCACAGTGAGTGTGCAACGGGAATTTCTAGCAGGGAGAGATTGGTGTGTGTAGAAGTGGAGGAGGTGGGATTTGAACCCAGCCCTGAAGTGTGAGAAGGAGGAGTTAGAAAAGTAGAGAGGAGTAGAGCTGCCATTACAAGTGCAGGAAACTATGACTTTACCCCAGAGCATGACTGGCCTGGTGATCAGGACACAGTAGAGGAAGAATGATTGGTAAGAAACCTCAAATGGCATAGAGAGGAAATAAGGTTTAATTCTATTGGCAACAAGGAAACAGTGCAGGCTTTTTTTTTTTAAGATTTTATTTATTTATTAGAGAGAGAGAGAGCATAAGAGGGGAGAAGGTCAGAGGGAGAAGCAGACTCCCCGAGGCACTGTAAGCCCGATGCAGGACTCGATCCTGGGATTCCAGGATCATGACCTGAGCCGAAGGCAGTGGCTTAACCCACTGAGCCACCCAGGCACCCCCAGTGCAGACTTTTAATCGAAGGGTTGATATGCTTAAGAGTATTAATGACACAATATGAGGGTGGTCTGAAGGGCAAGAAGCTGGAGGCAAGGGACCATTTTGAGGGAAGTCGCTAGTGATTTATGGAAGAAGCGGGAAGAGACTGTGTCATTAGAGCATTATACTCCTGCTGGAAAAGTAATTTAAAGCATTATGACCTACTTTATTAAATTTTTTCTGTGATATAAATGAAATGCTGTTATAACATGTCCGAAGTCTGAGCCACAGAGAAAGTTACCTGATTACCATGCTGACATTTTGCTTTGTGAACTTTCTTCACTTCTCTTCTATTTGGTTGTTACTGAGGCAGCTGGGAAGCCCTGGGGGATTTTCTCAGTATTCTGCATATTAGGAGGAACCTACATATGTGCTCGGGCAACTCCTTACTTATCCACCTAAAAATGTAATTCATTAGGTATGAAGACTATCATTCCTTGTCTGGGATTTCTTGGCGGGTATGAGGAAGAGTGTGATAGAGCACCTTTACACTGGAGGCAGAAGAGGGTAAATTGAGACAATCCTAAGGTGTTATCTCCTGGCCAGAATGTTCTTTCCTTCGAGAGGAGGGAGAAGATATTCTAATTTCTCAACTCTGTATGTGGGTATATATGTGTAATAGAAGCAGACATGGAAGTATACTTCTGTTCACCAGGCTTCAGCATTCCTTTCTGGGTATCTTGCTGGCCTAGGCAAGGGGCAGCAGGAGAGCGGACTGAGGAAATTCTCATAGCACTGTCCACAGCCACAGGGCCAGGTTCCCATCAGTGGCAGCTGCAACAAGAGTCATGGTCCCACATTTAAACTTCCTGTGCTGTTCTGCAGAATTAGCAGGAGGTAGAGACTCAGAAATCCCGTGAGACAGCAGGTGTGGGAAAGGAGGAAAAGTATTCAGTGGGGACTTTGGAAGAATACCTCATGGTTCCTGAATGGCATTCAGAGTCTTGGACAAAGTTCATCCATCCCCTCCTGAAGGCATATGAAGACTGCCATGGCCGTTAGAGACTCTTCAGTGTTACGTGACACACTCCTCGTCTCTAACCTGGTGGCGGGCTGCAGAGGGCACCTCACCCAATTCCTCAAGAGCATTAACGCCATCTACATACACAGTTCTTTGGTCAGGGCCATGAGAAACTCTCCTATGTTGACAATGCATTACAGTACTTGATTGGCTACAAGTGGCTTCTTGATTTCTGAGTCATTCTCACCAACTATTTTGGCATTTTGAGGTCACACATTCAATGTTGACTCTTTGGTATTTGTCTCTGGGCCCTCCACTCAAAAAGAATGGACGTGAATGTATCTGAGGAATGTCATGGGTGTCCTTGAGAATTTGGTTGCCTCCTTATGGTTCAGTTGTCATACTGGCCAGAATTTCGAGCCTAATTGTTGCAGTGCTCCATTTTCTTCTTTTTCTAGTGTGTCTTAATTTGCAACTAAGAGCATCAAGTCAGAGAGAAAGGACAATATGGGAAAGGGCCCAGGTAATCTACCTCCTCTGAGAGGTAGCACAATAGATTTGGAGTTAGAGACCCAAGTGGGGCCTTAGTAGCTAAGGACCTTTGAACAACTTATTCTAAGTCCCTATTTCTTCCTTTCCAAAAAATGAGACATTGTCAATTGTGTTCCTATACATGAGCAGTGAACAACTTGAAAAGGAAATTACAATGGCAATTCCATTTATAGAGCACCTAAAAGAATTACATACATAGAAATAAATCTACCAAAAAAAAAAAAAAAGAAAAAAAAAGAAAAGAAATAAATCTACCAAGGAGGTAAAAGACTTGTATACTAAAAACTACACAATATTGCTTGAAGAAATTAAAGAAGATCTAAATTAAATGGAAAGACATTCTGTGTTCATGGATAGGAAGATGTCAATATCACACAAAGTGGTCTACAGATTCAACATACTCCTTATCGAAATTCCAATAGCCTTTTTCACAGAAATGGAAATACTGATCTTCAAGTACATAAAGAATTGCAAGGGGCTCTGAATAGCCAAAACAATCTTGAAAAGAACTAATAAATTTGGGAGACTTACATTTCCCAACTTTGAAACTTACTATTCAGTTTCAGTAATTAAAACAGTATGGTACTGACATGAAGACAGCCAATAGAATAGAATAGGAAGCCTAAAAACCAACCCTCATATATATGGCCAACTGATTTTCTACAAGGGTGCCAAAACTATTCAATCAGGAAAGGACAGTTTTTTCAACAAATAGTGATGGGAAAACTGGATATATTTAAGTCTATATATCAAAGTCTATATTTAAGAGCTAAAACTATAAAACTTTCAGAAAAAGACATCAGAGAAAATCTGCATGACATTGGCTCTGGCACCAATTTTTAGTTGACACTAAAAGCAGAGGCACTAAAAGAAAAAAGATAAATTGGACTTCATCAAAATGAAGAACTTTTGTGCATTAAGGG